CTCGGGCTGCTGATTAGTGGATGAGGAAGAGCGTGTTCTTGCCATCTGCGAAAGAACAGAGTAGAAATTCAATTAGCATTGAGAAACCAAACCGCACGACAGAAAAGAATAGATGTGAAGTTTTTCCTAACTCTGTAGCCTCTGGGGGATAAATACAGACGTCTCCGTACCGATCCCTCAGACTCTACTAAGCTTGTCCGTGAATTGTGAGACCTAAGTAACCTAGAGCTCTGATACCAACTTGTCACGACCCGGATTTCCCACCCTCGGGAGTCGTGATGGTGCCTACTCGTAGAAGCTAGGCAAGCCGAATATTATTAAATCAATACCCTTTTTATTAAGCATGTTCAACAATTTAAAGTAATGAGTGATTAAACAGCGAAATAAATTAAATAACCAGAAATGCGAAAGACGATAACTTAATAGTTCAACCAAACACTGCTACATAATCTGAAGTACAATACTACCCGAAATTTGGTGTCATAAGTTATGGACAATCTAAGAATACTACAAATAAGGTATGAATAGAAATACACAAATCTGTCTCCGAATAAGTAAAAATAGAAAGGGAAATGATAGGAGGAGACACCAAGGCCCGCGAACGTCTGCAAGACTACCTCGGGTCACCTGAATGGACTGAAGACAGCACCCTCACTGCGGTCCAAACGCTCCGGGATCAGTATCTGCACCCAGTGCAGGGTGTAGTATCAGCACAACCGACCCCATGTGCTGGTAAGTGTCTAGCCTAACCTCGGCGAAGTAGTGACGAGGCTAGGACCAAACTACCAAATAAACCTGCGTAGTTAAAACATATATAGCGGAAAATAAAAGCAGATATTCACAGTTAAAGATGGGGAGGGGAAGCCATGCTACGGGGAGTATCAGATAACAACAAAATACCAAACAGGAACGTAAAGAAACCATAATTTAGTTGCCAACAATAATGAGGAAAACACACACAGTATCCACTTTCATTTTTTTCTCGTTGCAGGCGTGCAACCCACTACCATTTCATATATTACCGTTGCAGGCGTGCAACCCACTCCCATTTCATATATTACCATTGCAGGTGCAACCCGCTCCTATTTCATATATTACCGTTGTAGGCGTGCAACCCGCTCCCATTTCATATGTTACCGTTGCAGGCGTGCAACCCGCTCCCATTTCATATATTACCATTGTAGGCGTGCAACCCGCTCCCATTTCATATATTACTGTTGCAGGCGTGCAACCCGCTCCCATTTCATATGTTACCGTTACAGGCGTGCAACCCGCTCCCATTTCATATTTCAACAACTTTCATATTTCAACACCAATCATAGAAGAATCCCGACAAGGGAACAATAAGACAACAACAACATCCCGGCAAGGGAACAATAATATAACAACAACATCCCGGCAAGGGAACAATAATAAAACGAGGTTTAAATTCCAATTAATCAAAAAGCCCTAACTCTACCCAAATTCCTAAATTCTACCATAAAAACCCTAGATTTTAGGATGAAAATTGATGAAATGCAATGGGAAATCGAAAGAAAACGGTTTAGAATCATATACCAATGCTTTGGGGAAGAACTTGTTCTTTAAAAATCGCCTCAATGCTCCCAAATTTTGAAAATATAAAGTAAATGGGTTCTGCCCGTTTTTGGCTACTGTTTTAAAATGACAGGGCAGGCCTTCATCGCGTTCGCGATGGGCCACTCGCTTTCGCAATGGGTCAGGCCCAGCTGACCATCGCGTTCGCGTTCAATGGCTCGCGTTCGCGGAGCTTCAGCTCCTAGAGCCTTCGTGTTCGCGGCCAGATGGCCGCGTTCGCGTAGAACAACTGTGAAATCCCTCCCCCAGGCCACTAACCTTACGCATTCGCGAGTGCCTGAATGCGTTCGTGAAGGGTACTCCCCCCACAGCTTCGCGTTCGCGTCCTAAGCTCCGCGTTCGTGAAGAAAAATCTGGCACCTGAGGAAGTTTGCCTTACGCGTTCGCGAGTGGAACCACGCGAACGCGAAGAACAAAACCTCTGTGCACCTGAGACAGCAAAACCTGCAACTTTTCTAAGTTTAAAAACATCCTGAAACTCACCCGAGCCCTCGGGGCTTCAAACAAAACATGAATACTAATCCAAAGACATCATGTGGACTTATTCGTGCGATCAAATCGCCAAATTAACACCTTTAACAACGAATTTAGCATCAAAATCAAAAAAAAATCTCAAGAACACTTAAGTTTCAAATTTCACAACCGAGGGTCCGATTCATGTCATTTCAAGTCCGTTTCTTACCAAATTTTACAGACTCAATCTAAACGCCATATAAGACCTGTACAGGGCTCCGGAACCAAGATACGGGTCCGATACCATCAATTTGAAAAACATTCAAATTTCCAAAAACTCATATACATTCCAGAAAACAATTTTCTTTACAAATTCATTTCTCTGGCTTGGGAGCTCAGAATTCGATTCCGGGCATATGCCCAAGTCCCATATTTTCCTACGGAGCCTCCGGGACCGTCGAATCATGGGTCCGGGTCCATTTACCTAAAATGTTGACTGAAGTCAACTCAAATTCATTTTAAAAGCAAAATTTACCATTTTTCACAGATTTTCACATAATGGCTTTCCGAATACACGCCCGGACTGCGCACGCAAATCGAGGTGAGACAAATAGGAGGTTTTTAGGCCTCGGAACATAGAATTTATTTCTAAAACAAGTGATGATCTTTCGGGTCATCACAGATATACATTGGCGAAGTAATAATTAGTTGATAGAATCCATGTCTCGGTTTTTGAGATTGATGATACTCCTTTATGAAAGCTTATAAGTTTTCATGTGTAAACCAGGCCGGTAGATTTTGTATCCGACACATTGAATAAGTTAAGTGAAAGTCTAAAGGAAGTAATCAATAAATTAAATTGTCAGTAATTTAATTTGATTGGTTAGTATCTGAATCTTAACATGGGGAGTTAAATAAGGTTTTATGGAAGAATTTCAAAATTGAACTAAGGAGTGCAATTACGAATTTTTAGTGGAATAATTCGTAATTTATTATGGAAGAAATTAATTTCAAATTTCGAAATTAATTCCATAATAGGAAGCCTTGTTAATTAAATTATGTGGTTGCTATTGTGCCTAAATAATAGGAAATAAAGGAAACATTTCCTTAGTGGAAGAAGAAAACCTAACAGGTTTTGGAAAAGGGTTTTAACCTAGAAAATGTAGCTCTATATATATATATATATATATATATATATATAGCTGGCTGTTTTTTACACTGAAAAACCACACATTTTTCTTCCTTGAATTTCGCCCACCCGAAGTTCTCTCTTTCCGAATATTTTTTGGGTAACATGGTAGAAGACTGTGGAAATTTACTGAGGTCTTGCAGCTCTGGAACAGGTGAAGGATATTGATTTGCTTTGTTCACGCTTCAAGAGGTAACTCGAATAGTCTCCGTATGTGCTAATTGTTTAATTCACACGTGAATATGATACTGTGATTGCTTCCGCGGTGATATATAATCCAACAGGGGGTGGGTTGGTGGGGTATGGGGGTGGGTTGGTGGGGATGGGAGAATAGAGTGGAGAAGGTTGAAAAAGAGTTTTGGAACATGTTTTCCCTTCTCTTGATAGGGAAAATATTTTCCTCCAATTGGAGAAAAATGAGTTCATGTAGAAAATATTTTTCAAAACAATTAAGCCAACCAAACATAGGAAGATTGAAAAATATTTTCTTGAAAATATTTTCCTTCACACCAAACACACCCTAAGTTTCAAAAAAAACTTAGGTGTAAGGTCTTTTTATCTCTCCACTAATAGACTCCTACAGATTAACAAGTTAACTCATTGGTACTCTTATATCAAATTTTGAACCTAAAATAGTTCTATTCTTTCTTACTATGTATAATGTATGCAAATATTTACTCAAAAACTGTTGGGTTTTGTTATTAATAACAAAAGATGTGTGAATGGAAAATGGTAGGAAAAAAATGAGGGAAGTAAAATTTTGAATTAGTTCACTTTACTAATGCACTTTGTCCCTCATCGGAAGAAGGAAAGAAAATCTTTATGTATATATATAGAAGCTCATCTTCTAGCTCTTAAAGAGTTAAGAAGAAGTGGTGCCTCGCGTCGTCGTTGTCGTCGCTCGCTCGGCTTCGGCTTTGGCTTTGGCTTCGGCTTCGGTCAATTGATATGATTGATTGATAATTTTTTGGACCAAATTTATTTCCTTTTCCATTATTTAACATTTTATTTTCTAAATATTTTTTACGTTGGAAGATCGCGGAATCATTTTCGCGCATTGGAAGATCGCGAAATTATTTTGCGACAAACAGCTGAAACGTTCCATTCAATAGCTGAAGAGACACCTTATCATTGAACAGGCAGGTTGGGACTCAACCTTTCTAGCTATAAATAGAGAGGTTTAGCCTCATTTTCCACCACCGAAAAATCTGAAATCGCTCCCCTCGAACTTCTGCATTCTGCATTGTTTTTCCAAAACCAAAAACGTAAGCATTTTGTGCGATTTGCTCCGCCATTTGAGTTCGCCGAAATTCTGTAATTTGAAGTGCCGCTATCACAGAATAGTTATTCCGTTCTCTCCTGGGAGGAATTAATCCACAACCTTGGATATTGTGAGGGGATTAAATTCCTTATGAAAACACAAGAAACTTGTGGGCTCGGAATTTTTTCTGCTTTCATTTTTTAAACTAACGTGTCTAGTTTTCTAGTTTTTGAATACAGAGTTTTAACAAGCTTAAGGAATTTAACGTTTTATTTCTGTATTCAATCTTACTTTCTTCTTTGGGAGACTAAAATCTTATTGATTTTCTACTCCCATTTTGGAGATTAAAATCTTCGGATTTTCTACTCCAGTTTGAGATTAAAGTCTCTGTGACTTTCTACTCATTCCGAGATATAAAAACTCGGTTATTTCTATTCGATTTGAAGATATAAAAACTTCACTGAGATACTAATTCTGTTTGTCAATTTCTTTTACAGAAAAATGACAACGAGTGTGGAACAACAAAATGGTTCTGTTGGAACTACTGCTGCAACGACAAATGCGTCTTCAAGTCGCACAACTCCTGCACCGGCAATGGCACCGGCAGAAAAGCCCAAAAAAATTTCTGGCATGGACTTCAAACGCTGGCAGCAGAAAATGTTCTTCTATCTGACCACTCTCAGTTTACAATGCTTTATTAGCGAGGACGTTCCAGTCTTGGGAGAAGAGACTCCGGAAAATGAGCGATTTGTGGTCACGGAGGCATGGAAGCATTCTGACTTCTTGTGCAAAAATTATATATTGAGTTGTTTGGAAGATGGCTTGTACAACGTTTATAGTGTCATGGAGACTTCGAAAGAGTTATGGAACGCTCTTGAAAAGAAGTACAAAACGGAAGATGTTGGACTAAAGAAATTTGTTGCCGTACAATTCTTGGACTTTAAAATGGTGGACAGTAAGTCTGTCATAACTCAAGTTCAACAATTACAAGTCATCGTTCATGACCTCCTTGCCGAAGGTATAAATTGAGTCAATATTTTTATTAAAGATATCGATTATATTATTAATCCTAAATTTATGATTTTAGGTATGGTCATAAATGAAGCGTTTCAAGTTGCGGCATTTATTGAAAAGCTACCTCCGCTGTGGAAGGACTTTAAGAATTACTTGAAACATAAGCGCAAGGAGATGACGCTTGAAGACCTTATTGTTCGTCTACGGATTGAAGAGGAAAACAAGGCTGCTGAGAAGAAGTCTCGTGGAAATTCAACAATAATGGGTGCAAATATTTTTGAGGAAGCTTCAACGAGTAAAAAGAGAAAGAAGTCGTCTGGACCAAAGAATTACCCAAGCAAGAAGAAATTCAAAGGTAATTGCCACAACTGTGGAAAGTTTGGACACAAGGCTACTGAATGTCGTACACCAAAGAAGGACAAGAAGAAAAGTCAAGCAAACATGATTGAGAAGAATGATGAAATAGACGATTTATGTGACATGCTTTCAGAATGCAACCTAGTCAAAATCCTAGAGAATGGTGGATTGATTCGGGAGCAGCTCAACATGTTTGTGCTAACAAGAAGTTGTTTACTTCTTATGCTCCCGCTGGACCCAACGAGACAGTTTTTATGGCAAATTCCGCTACTGCATAAATTGAAGGAACAGGCAAGATAGCTTTGAAGATGACTTCTGGAGAGATTGTGACTCTAAAAGATGTTCTTCATGTTCCTGAAATGCGGAAGAATTTTGTCTCAACATCACTTCTTGTCAAGAATGGCTTTAAATGTATTTTTGTTTCCGACAAGGTTGTAGTTAGTAAGAATGAAATGTATGTAGGAAAAGGTTACCTGACTAAGGGCCTTTTTAAACTCAATGTAATTGCCATTGATATGAATAAAATTTCAGCTTCTTCTTACTTGCATGAGTCAAATAATTTATGGCATGAACGTTTAGGCCACGTCAACTTCAAAACTTTGCGAAAAATGATTAATTTGGAAGTATTGCCTACGTTTGAATGCAATATCTCAAAATGTCAAATATGTGTGGAACCAAAGTATGTTAAGCATCCTTATAAGTCAGTTGAAAGGAATTCAAATCCTTTAGACTTAATTCACACAGATATTTGCGACATGAAGTCAATACCATCTCGCGGTGGGAAAAAGTATTTCATAACTTTCATTGACGACAGTACTAGATATTGCTATATTTACTTACTTAATAGTAAAGATGAAGCAATTGAGATTCAAGCAATACAAAAATGAAGTTGAAACGCAACTAACAAAAAGATCAAAATTATAAGAAGTGATCAGGGCGGTGAATATGAATCTCCTTTTGAAGAAATATGTTTTGGAAAATGGCATTATTCACCAAACAACTGCCCCTTACTCATCGCAATCTAATGGAATTGCGGAAAGAAAGAATAGAATGTTAAAGGAGATGATCAATGCCTTGTTAATAAGTTCTGGTTTACCTAGAATTTGTGGGGGGAAGCTATTCTTACAGCTAACCGAATACTGAATCGATTTCCCCATAGAAAAACGCAATCCATTCCATATGAAAAATAAAAAGGAAGGAAACCCAACTTAAAATATTTTAAAGTGTGGGGGTGTTTGGCTAAAGTGCAAGTTCCTAAACCCAAAAGGATAAAAATTGGACCAAAAATCGTTGATTGCATTTTCGTAGGATATGCAACAAATAGTAAGGCATATCGTTTTCTGGTTCATAAATCAGAAAATCCCGACATTCATATTAATACGATAATTGAATCGGATAATGCTGAATTCTTTAAAAATATTTATCCGTATAAAATGGAATGTGAGTCGTCTAAGGAAAAATCTAAGCAACCTCGGGAAGAAGCAAAGGAAAGTACGTTTGATGAGGAAAATCCAAGACGTAGTAAACGTCAAAGGACAACTACTTCCTTTGGACCAGATTTTCTGGCATTCTTATTGGAAAATGAGCCTCAAATGTTCAAAGAAGCAATGTCTTCCTCGGAAGCACAATATTGGAAAGAGGCTGTCAATAGTGAGATAGAATCCATATTAAGTAATCATACTTGGGAATTGGTTGATCTTCCTCCGGGAAATAAATTTTTGGGTTCTAAATGGATTTTCAAAAGGAAAATGAAAGCTGATGTTACTATTGACAAATATAAGGCAAGATTAGTTGTTAAAGGGTTTAAACAACGAGAAGGTCTTGATTACTTGGGCACATACTCGCCGGTAACAAGGATTACATATATCCGGGTGTTAATAGCGTTAGCCGCCGTATATAGCCTTCAAATTCATCAGATGGATGTAACAGCCTTCTTAAATGGTGATTTAGAGGAAGAAATCTATATGGAACAACCTGAAGGGTTTGTAGTTTTCGGAAAAGAAAAGAAGGTGTGTCGACTTGTTAAGTCACTTTACGGACTAAAACAAGCACCAAAACAATGGCATGCGAAATTTGACCAAACAATGTTGTCAAATGGTTTCAAGATCAATGAGTGTGACAAATGTGTTTACATTAAGAATACTCCAAATCAAATAGTCATTGTTTGTTTATATGTGGATGATATGTTGATAATGAGTAATGACATTGCTAACATAAATGCTACTAAGCGCATGCTTACTAGTAAGTTTGATATGAAAGACTTAGGAGTTGCCTATTTAATTTTGGGAATTAAGATTCTTCGGACTTCTCAAGGTCTAGCTTTGTCTCAATCTCATTATATTAAAATGATTCTTGAAAAGTTCAAATATTTGGACTTTAAATAAGCAAAAACGCCAATTGATTTAAACCATACTCTTGTAAAGAATAAAGGTCAAAGCAAATCTCAATTGGAATATGATCGAGTATTGGGAAGTTTGATGTACATTATGAATTGTACATGACCTGATATAGCTTGTGCAATAAGCAAGCTTAGTCGATACACAAGTAATCCGAACCAAGCTCATTGGATAACAATGAAACGAGTTTTGGGATATTTGAAATATACTAAAGACTATGCATTGCATTACAATAATTATCCTGCAGTTATTGAGGGATATAGTGATGCAAATTGGATCAATGGATCCACGGAAATAAAATCCACAAGTGGATACGTTTTTACCATTGGTGGAGGAGCAGTGTCCTGGAAGTCGTCCAAACAGACATGCATTGCTCGAAGTTTGATACGGGGTATATCAATAGTATATCTACGGGATAACATGTTTAGGAATCACCTATATAAGTGTGAAGTGTAAGCCGCTTCAAGGAGAATGTTGTAAGGCCAGTTCTCTACGCACTTATGAAACCAGGCGGTGTTCATGGCTGAAACGAACACAACAATGAGAAGTTGAGAACCAAAGACGGTTAAGGGTTGATTGTGTGACATATGGCTGTCTAGGTATACACCAAAGTTCGACGGTTCAAAGATATCAAATTTTCCGATTGATCGAGTATATCTGACATATGTTCACTACGGAAAGTTCAAAGGGAAACCTACTTATCCAGATGTGGTTAATCCTTACTTGCGAATCACACACAGTTTTTTATGCATATTTGTTTCGGATAGCCCTTCCCCATTCATGTGGGGGATTGTTGGGTTTTGTTATTAATAACAAAAAAAGTGTGAATGGAAAATGGTGGGAAAAGAAATGGAGGGAAGTGAAATTTTGAATTAGTTCATTTTACTAATACACTTTGTCCCTCATTGGAAGAAGGAAAGAAAATCTTTGTGTATATATATAGAAGCTCATCTTCTAGCTCTTAAAGAGTTAAGAAGAAGTGGTGCCTCGCGCCGTCGTCGTCGCTCGGCTCGGCTTCGGCTTCGGCTTCGGCTTCGGCTTCGGATTCGGTCAGTTGATATGATTGATTGATAATTTTTTGGACCAAATTTATTTCCTTTTCCATTATTTAACATTTTCTTTCTAAATATTTTTTACGTTGGAAGATCGCGGAATCATTTTCGCGCATTGGAAGATCGCGGAATTATTTCGCGACCAACAGCTGAAACGTTCCATTCAATAGCTGAAGAGACACCTTATCATTGAACAGGCACCTTTGCACCTGTTGGGACTCAACCTTGCTGGCTATAAATAGAGAGATTTAGCCTCATTTCCACCACCGAAAAATCTAAAATCACTCCCCTCAAACTTTTGCATTCTGCATTGTTTTTCCAAAACCAAAAACGTAAAACACAAGAAACTTGTGGGCTCGGAATTTTTTCTGCTTTCGTTTTTTAAAATAACGTTTCTAGTTTTCTGATTTTTGAATACAGAGGTTTAACACAAACATTATCCCCTGCCCCACCCTCCAAAAAGGCAAAAATCCACATATGAATTAACATGTTAGTCACATGAGTCGTGATTGAAGCTCTACGAAGTAGGAGATATGTCATACTTTGTAATCAATTGTTAAAGGAACTTTAACATTCATTAGTTAATCAAAATTAATTTACTAGGTATCAACGTACTTTCCAAATGTCGTTTTTTCTCCTGTCTTGGTTGTATTTTTTTTCTTGGTTGTTATTGCTATGTGCTTTAGGATTGTGTCACCGTGTGAACAAGGAATGACTCATGGCAAGGGTTGCCATCTACTTCCTTTTGTGGCTCTACTACAATTTTACAATATTTTTCTAGACCTCACTTGTGGGATCACACTGGGTATGTTGTTATTGTCTGATTTTACAATATTTGAAAATCTTTCTCCACCTTGCCTCTGTTATCTCTGTTAGTGATGTGAACGATCAATTCTAGACAAAGAACAATTTTATCCGCTTTGCTGAGCAAATACAATATAATGTGAAACACAGTAAATCAGTTAATCTTTGCCATAACTTGTATGAACATAGGTTGTTACATTGGTGCATGCCCCAGTCGCTGAGTTTGTTTGCAATCATGGCTGAATGGTTAAAGCGCCCAACTTATCATTGACGAATTCATAGGTTTAATTCCTACTGGATGCATGCCGGTAGGATCCTCCAATAAGTCTATTGGAATTGGCTATGTATCAAAGGAATCTCATCATCCATACATAACGAATTGATGTGGTATATTCATATCATAATGAATAGTAAGAACTAGCATTGTTATTGAGACTTTAACTCATAGGATCGATTTATAGATGGAATCGAAACACAGTTACCACAAATTAGATAATGTGCAAAACAACTGCTTCACTATTAGGAAATATCTCTCATTTTTCAGCAGCTCATCTTCTCAACTATAGAGCATCTTCCTGATGCTCTTGGAGTTAGCAACTTCTCACAATTTCTTATTGTATTAAATGGTATGCTGTACGCCTAGATATTCTAGTTTTGAGTTTTGACCTCTACCATGGCTTGATAGTTAGTTGCCAAACACAGACATATTCTGCTTATTGATCTCATTTCCCTTTAATATAGTCTTTCTGCTTGATCTTGGGTTGACTCTTTTCAAGGACATGAATTCAGGTTTTTGCTTTCCTTTTTAAACATCAGACATAAATCAGAACACTTAAGTAAAAGTCATGTTTTATTCGTATGAATATTTTTCAGTACACAATTCAGCAATAAGAAAAAGGGAATAGTCAGTGAGTTGTACATTCACATGCAAAGTTGGGACGAATGCAAATATCCCAACTTTCTAATTTTGATCGATATAAAGCTTCATTCTTCAGGTTGGTAATTGTTAGACTTCATCATATTGCTGATATAAAGGCCAATTCCAAGAACCAAAAGAGCAATCAGAGTCATGTTCATCACTTTCCTTGGCATCTTCAGCTTCTCAGCTAGAGCAACTCCAGTTCCCATGTTTGCATCATTTTCAAGTTTACTGTCATAACTTGGTTTGTTTCCATCTTCAACATTTTTACTTTTCTCAGCAGGAGCTTTTCCGGGCAGATCTTTAGCTTCTGTTGTTTGTTCATTCGTTTTAGGCTTTGGTTCTTCTTTTTCTGGTTCTTTGGCCGGGGCGTTGTCAGCATTAGCCAATTCTTGGCTTTTCGCTTGTTCTTCGTCTTTCTTCTGAGCCTGTTGTTCATGATCTGCTGGTTTCTTGGGCTGTTGAGTATCAGGGGTTGGCAATTCCTTATCCTTTTTTTCTGCTGAAGTTATCAGTTTTGGTTGTTTAACATAAAGAATGCCATTTTCAAACTTTGCACTGATTTTGGTTTTGTCACAATTTTCTGAAACAGGGAAGTCCTTCTGGAAACGAAGCCATTTGTTCTGTCCAACTGGCCTTTGTCCACTGATCTTCAAAATTCCTGATTTGGTCAGTTGAACCCTCACTTGTTCCTTTTTGAAACCTACAAATATTCAATGTTTTTGTAACAGACTATCAAACATGAAAATGAATGTGCATGAAAATTGCTAAGGAACATATATTATCTGCATTTCTTCTCCTTCTTCTTCTTCTTTTTTCTTTTGAAATATTACATACAAAAAGAGGTGGTATAGTTTTCATTTATTTGTTCAGAATCTAATATTAGACAGTATACACTATAATTCTCTTCTCCCAAAAGTCACGTAAACTTTACCATCTATCGAATTCCAATCATATCTTACAATGAAAATAGTCAAGAAAATGAACATTGGACTTAACTTCAAAAGCTATTTCATATAAGGTGACAACAGATCGTTCCCTCAATCAATATGGGACACTTAACCAGCGGCGAAGCTACACTTTGGTATCGGAAAATTATACTGCGTATATAGGTAACATATCAAGTTTTGGAGGTACATAACATATATTGAACACCCTTTGTCGTAAATTTGTTTAAATTTTTTTTAAAAAAATGACAAGATTAAATTGTAAAAATCTTGCCACTGCACTTAACACAAATATAGTAATAAATGACAAGAAAGATTAAATTGTAAAAATCTTGCACCTGTGAGATTAAGGAGAAGAGTGTCAGAGTCTTGCTCTTGAACCAACTCTGTAGTTGGCACAAAATCTTCATACACTTGAGCAGCTGCTGCTCCTTTTGAATCCATTTTTCTGTGTTCCTTACCTTTCTTTTTGCTAATATTGGAATTTGTAATCTCTTGTTTAAGCTCTCTTCTTGTTGTATTTGTTGGTACAAAAGAGATTGAATATATTGGTTATATATACACAGGAAAATATTGTCAAGAGAGATGCTTAAACTCTTTTCTTTCAATTTAAATATTCCTTAACTTATTTCCATGCCTTTCTTTGTTTATAGACGCCTCTGGCTTTAAGAGTTTTCTTCTTGCATAGGAAACCAAATTTTTTTAGAAATTAAAAAATATAATTTGAGGGTCCACTTTTCTTAAAGCTTCCTTAGTTGAGGACTAATTATTCTCCCCTTTTTCAGTTAACACACATGTCATAATTGATAAATAATGTAAATGTAATTTTTTTCAATTATATGGCAAAAATCACTTTTAGCCTACGACTGAAACTATTTATATTTGGTAGCCGCAAAAATGTATAAAATTTGTAAAAATACATCTATATACAAAAAAAAAAAAAAAAAATCAGCTATTATTTTGAGAGCGGTTATACAATATCATTTCCCCTTTTTTTAGTTTAAGGAACTTTTTCTCATGTAATTGAATATTTGTTATGATTAAAGATATTATTTATCAAAAAAAATGTTAATTACATCTGGTTACACATTAAACAAGACCCAATTTTCTTAATTACCACTATCTTTTTTTCCCTTTGTCCTTTTTCCGTTTTCCTCATTTCCCACTTTGAGGTCTTAAAAGTTACGATTCTTTATATTTGAATATATTAATTCCCTATTGAATTTTTATTTTTATTTTATATGAAAGCTTTTGTTAGAGACAAACTTTGTCTACGTAGAGGAGTTGGTATTCTTTCTTTAGCATGGGAAAGGAGAAGTTTCTTCAAGAAATTGCAGGAATATATTCTTTGGCACGAGAAATTTTGGAATAATTTTTAGTATACTTTCTCACTTCTTCCCTCTCCTTTCATTATTTTTCTTATTTCTTTTTTAAGTCCATCTTATTCGTTCGCTTTATCATAGAATAATACAAAATCTTGTAAAGTTGATCCCATTGGTGCCTGCTAATGGGGTTTAAATAATAAAAATGAAAAGAAAAAGAGAAGAAAGAGCAATTCTTGTTGATTACCTACTTTGGCATATAATCAAACCTTTTTTCCAATTCTAATTCAATCGGTTTTTCCTTATTAACTACTTACGTTGGTGAGAAGTAAGTTCCAAAACAAGGTATGTAAGTCCAATGAATCTTTAAATTGTATTGTTTTATAAATTAACAAAATACTGTAATAATGTATAAAAGAAAGAATTTGTATGAATCTTCAAAGAATATGTAATTTAAGTATAAAAAATACATTTTTTTTTTAAAAAAAATTGTTATATAATTCAACTCAAATACAATGTCTTAATCATCGAAACAAATATATATGAAATGAAACATCATATTAACGATTTTTTTCTCCGGGTTACACAGTATATCATCTGTCAATAAGAAAAATTAGAGAAAAAATTGAAACATTATTTATATCAGTATTCACTTTCTAGTTTGGATGCTATTGAACAACAGTTTTAATGAGTCAGATTAATTAAAGAACTTTGAGTATGCTACTATGCTTAAGAGTTGAAACAATACCTCGAATTTTTGTACCAAAAACGCATCAGATTTAGTACCCAAAGAAGTTCCAGAATATAAAACTTTACGATGGATGGCAATCTAAACTTTTGTTAAAAATTATCAAAATATTTTGTGTCTTGAAAAAAAAGTAATAGTATGTCGATAGATAATCGCCAAAATTTTATCAAAAATATTTATTGACGAAAAACCATTAAAATATTTCAAAACTCAGCAATTCAATCTTGCACTAACGCTATCTAACAAGTCCATAAAAATTTGTGATAGCCACCTTCTTTCTATCAAAAATTTGTTTCAATGAGCAGTATTTTGATAGCTCCTTGCCATCGAAATGTCATTGGTAATTTAATTATCAATGACATTTCCATGATCCTTTCAATTAAAATTTTCAAAAGTCTATTTAGTAATGCTTGTGGTCCCATGTATATACTAATCCTATTGGAAAATCATATAAATCAGTCTAGTCGAATTGTTTATATCATAGGCTATGCAATCCCTAGTCTGGATCTAAAGTCTATTTCTTAGGTTTCCTAAATTTATTTGAAAATTCGCAGTGTTAATTATGATATTAGAAGCGTTAAACGTAACGTTAGATAAAAGTTTGTTCTTTAATGAAGAATCAACAAACTATAATAATAGAATTCAAGTTTGTGCAAAAAGATCCATCTAAACCCTAGAGAAAATGCATTTTGCTCTGGACATGTCATTGAATTTATTGATTTATATCCACAATAAATTTATTACATGTGATGTATTCAAAAAATCTTAGAAAAACAATTTGGGATTCCAGTACGAGGACGCCAAATAATGGTTTTGCACGTGGATACAAACTTCAGGTCTTTCTTTTTTCTTCAAATCATCGAGCTTCACTTCTTCATAGTGTGATTTTTTGCTTATTTGTTTTCCAAGTACTCATTTGCCTTTCAATTTATTAAGCTCTATCAAAACTAAACAATGTGTGTCAATTAAAAATAAATTTATGTTAATAATCAAACAAAACTCATTGTAAATTTTGCATGTATAAGTAGATAGATAAAAAAAATACTTATCATCAGATTTGGCTCTTATACAAATCATTTTTTTTCTTCAAATTTTTATCAAATCTTATTTTGGCAAATCTATATTTGTTTGTTTTACTTAACTAACGAAAGATCAAATAGGAGAATTGTACTATTTTGATAAGGTTTAAAAATAACAAATTGTACAAAACATAAGGTGTTATAAAACAATAAAAGAAGAAGAATATTACAGAGAAAATTCTTATTGATTTGGGAATTTACAATGAACAGAACCCCCTCTATTTATAGGGAAAAAGTGACTTAAGTAACAAACCCTAAAATCTCTCTAGAATATAGATATTCACCTTAAATACAATTCTATTTTTAACATGCCCCCTTGAATGTTTATTCAACAGATAATGTGCCTCGCTAAAACCTTAAGTAAAATGAAACCAGTGGGAAAAAAATTCCGGTGAAGGAAAAAGAGTACACATATCTAACAATATGCCTTTTTGTTGCCTCGTTAAAAACCTTGCAAGGAAAACCCAATGGGACAAAACCTTGCAAGGGAAAAAGAGTACAATGCATATTAACTTCCCCTCATAAGACAATCAATTCACATCTTTGAGCATTCGCATCCCGATCTTGTACACTAGCTTCTTGAAGGTTGACGTCGGTAGAAATTTGGTGAATAAATCTGCCATATTAACTCCAATGAATATGTTGCTGCACCTTGAAATATCATTCTTGATAGATATATAATGTCTTTATATAATATCGTCGACTGGCCTTTTCAATATGTCACGACCCGGATTTCCCGCACTCGGGGTCGTGATGGCGCCTACTCGTGGTAGCTAGGCAAGCCTACTCATTTACTCTTCCATTGCTAACAAATCTTTTAACAATTTATAACATTAATATAGAACATGAAATTTAATAATAATAGCGGAAGTCTGAATCATGATCTAACTCAAAACGCGGAACAGTCAACAATAGCCTCTACCCAAGACTAGTGTCACATTACTCACGAACTGCTAAGAGTTTACTAAATACAAAGGTCTGAAAGAAACATATAAAATATTTGTCTCGAAAACAAGGAGGCAACAATATAGAAAAGAAAATAAGGGAGAGACGCCGGGCCTGCGGACGCCTGCAAGGCTACCTCGGTCTCGTGATAATGAAAGCCTGCTCCCGTGCTAATGCTGTTGATGCTCCTCAAAACCTGGACCTGTGCAAAAATGCACAGAGTGTAGCATCAGCACAACCGACCCCATGTGTTGGTAAGTGCCTAACCTAACCCCGGCGAAGTAGTGACGAGGCTAGACTGGATACCACATAAACCTGTGCAATTATAAATATACAACGGAATCGAAATACCAAACAATTGACAATATGGGAGGGGAAACATGCTATGGGGAGATGGCAATATTAACAGTAATCCAGAGTAACAATCTAAAGCAGTCTAAATTTGCGATGAACAAGAAACCAATACTCAATATAAACACATTTATATCAATAACTGTTGCGGCGTGCAACCCGGTCCACAATTACCATTGTTGCGGCGTGCAACCCGATCCACAAATACCACTGTTGCGGCGTGCAATCCGATCCACAAATACCACTGTTGCGGCGTGCAACCCGACCCATATTATTTATCATTTATCATTGTTGCGGCGCGCAACCCGATCCTCATATCTCATTTAACATTGTTGCGGCGCGCAACCCGATCCTCAAATATCATTTATCGTTGTTGCGGCGTGCAACCCGATCCATATCATTCGACAGTCTAGCTCCTCACACAATAGTCACAAATAAGGGGCATAAAATTAAACAAATATTGGAAGGAATCCCGGCAAGGGAAAAGAAACCAACAAGTTCAATACAACGTTCCGACAAGGGAAATACCAACAACGCTTTCTCTTTCTTTCATTTCTTACGTTATAATCCACTTTACCATTTTGAGCCAACGCTCCAAAGAATCAAGTCATTTCATATACTTTCAATATTCGTATCACAATTCGAGCCAATGCTCCTAGTAATCAAATGATCATATCATCATTCACATGTTATTCAAAACATATAGAAATCCTCCAATAAACACGGAAATCACAACCAAATCATGATAATCACATTATGAGGACTCACGGTCATACTAGATACCAATGTATAGATACTCGTCACCATGCCTATATATCGTACTCAATCATTTAGCAATTAGCAAACAAGACTCAACTCCTATCCCTCAAGCTAGGTTAAACCAACACTTACCTCAAAGCCTTGAAATCCACTTAATCCTCAACTATCGCTTTACCCCGCGGTTCCACCTCCAATTCGCTCGAATCTAATCACAAATTGCTCAATTACTTTAATAAACACTANATAAAGCTGAAAGGTACAATATGAAAACACCTAACTACAATTGAACTAGAAATAAGAAAGACACATAAAACTCTTTATGGAGCTGGTTCTTCAATCTGGTTCATGTAGCTTCTGGTTTGCACACTTGAATCACACACGAACTGCTT